CATATCAGGTGGGTGTGCCAAAATAAACTGGTGATACTGTAGTAAAAAAAGGTTAACACACTTATCAACAGTCAATGTTATATTAACCAAAGGTGATGCTTTTCATGGAAGAGGTTTCAGTGTGTTCGTCTGATATTTCATGTCTGCAGCGGAGGCGTCAGTTCACACACCGTCCATTCACCTCTCACCAGGCTGCCCCTGGGGAGGGCAGGACATGGGTGCCCGCCTTCCGGAAGCCAGGAGTTCCTACAAGCAATCTGCATCTCCTGGCATTGCGGCCAGCGCCTCTGCTGTTAAATAACCCGGCACCAGAGTCTACTCTGTGGACAGTCAGGACCTCAGGTAAAGGTATAGTTTGAAAGGGCATACCTCCAACACAGCAGCTCCCCAGTTGCCACTCCCAGGAGATGGAATGGAAATCCTGCTCCAGACAGAGGTCCAACAGCAACTACTTCCTCCTTACATGTCTGGCAGTGCAGCACTGCAGGGTGCGAGCTTGGCTCACCCAGTCAGGGCCAACACCCAACCCATCACTTGAGGAGATACAACAATGCAATTCCAAACACACGACCATCACCAGGTGACACATCTCAGATTCATGGCTCAGGCTGGTCAGAACCCTGTGAATCCATCCACTGGTCCCCTCAGCCCTACCTGCAAAGACGTAGCCCGAGATCAGGTACCCTATGGGCTCGGTCCTCTCGTTGACGGCCCCCAGGGCCACAGTGGTGGCCACAGCGCAGCGGACGTAGTTGAAGAAGAAGTGGGTCATGTTGGTGCCGTCCAGTGTGAGGAAGAACTGCCCTCCAATGAAGCTGTTGTGCTCCCCAAAGGCAAAGGCATAGCCATGGAGCCAGAAGGCCACCAGGGAGATGACTAGAAAGAGACCGGAGACAAGACGTTCTGTCACACAGGCACCCCTGGGAAACTGGGACCACAGCCATCAAGGGTACCGAAACAATTCTTCAAAGTACATGGAATTATTATTCTAAAGGAACAGTCGGCATCGCTTCAGAAATTAAGGTCCTGCCTGACAGACTTCTTAGAGTTACTCAAATAAGCAATGACAGGTACGGACTCATGCAGGCCATACAATATGGTGTATTTATTTTTTCACAGCAGAATATGTATTATTACTAGGACCACTGCTCAACCTAATTTATACTAATTTTCTAGATTCTGCTACAGTTAATAAACTAGACAAGTCTGTAGGTAAGACCAATAAAGGGATCAGCAAATAGTGTAGAAACAGCAAATTCAATTAAAAAAGATTTAGATAAAAAGGCTAACTTAATGAAATAGTAAACTGCAGTTTTGCCAAACAATTTCCCACTGTCAGTTTGAAATAGTAGGCATACATTCACCCATGCTGTGTAACTTGCAGACAAGGACACTCTGCAAAGACAGAGACATGACTGCCAGACCAACTGCCTGAAGCTCCGCCCCATCCCCATGGCACACAAGACAACACTGTGGACCCACAGCCAGCTAATATGTACTGTAGATTTAGTTAACAACACTCAATTATGAGTCCTACAATACAAATAAAATCATACTGTGTATACTGTATACTGTATAAACAAAGGATCTAAATCTAACCGGATTAGGTTAGCAAACAGTGAGGGTTCATGAGAGACCCCAACAAGGCAATGCGAGAAGGGCGTTCAGCAGCCCTTCGTCATCACACACAGTGCTGGAGTCACTGGCGATCCACACTGGATCTCTGGCTCAGCTTGGCACTGTGACTCTCCTGCAAGCCAGCTGCACCTATACAGCAGAACCACACTCTCTTAACAGTGAAACTGAAGAGTTCTCGGAGGGATAGAGATGTCTCCCTACTACACCCCACCTGCACCACAGCAAGCAGCCTCCAGTCCCAACAGGAACCCAGCTAGCAACAGGGGGCACTGTGGAGCAGGAAACTGAGGATACATCATAGGGGTCGGGGTCTATGTCCTGGCAGAACTTAACTAACCGTGCAGCAAGGCTGAATTGGAGGTTTCACATTTCAGCAAACCCTGTGGGCTCAGCCCATCTTGCTGCTCCAGTGGCTGTAAATGGAGTAATACCTTTTGCGCCTGTGCAGGCAGAAGTGTACACATCAGCATCTCTACAGCGGCATGTCACTGTCAGGCTGCTGTGTTGCTTCCTTTCCAAGCCAGTGCAGGGCCAGGCCTGCAGTGCTGCAGCTGTCTAGGCAGGGTAAGGAGGTTTACAGCCCACTAAAGATCCCTTCTGCTGAGGAGGCTGGACTTGCACAGGATGCAAAAAGGGGATTTCAGGATAAAAGTCTGACTCACTTTAGAGCAAGCATCAAATGCACATAAATATTAATCCCAAATGCAAGCAGCAGCATGTCATTTCCTATTGAATTTATAGGTTGTGAGCATCACTTTATTACTCATTGGAAACCCTGACTGCACATTTAGCACAAGGAAATGCCTTCATCACCTTTCATTATGCATATATATATATACACTGTAGTTTGTTCTCTTACCAAACACACAAACAGGACCCCGCTGTTTTTATCTTAATTTTAAAGCCATGCTCTCTAATGAAGAGGTCTGTCAATTATTCATTGGCTTTTTATCTGCCCAGATCTAAGCCTGGCAGGGGGACTGAGTCCTGAAGAGGATCCCATGAATAAGTAAGGGGGTTGAACTCCTCTGCACTCAAGCTGTCAGATTAATCCCCACACAGTGCTGCTGGGGTAAGAGCTGCTACAAGCGCCTCCTGTCGCTGGGCCCAGGAAAATAACCACCCTCTTCCTTCCAAGGGCCTCCTCGTGCAGGTCAGAGCACCACAGGACATCCAGGGCACTCCTGCACCGCAGTAGCCCAAGACTGGGCACAAGAGAGAAAAAGAAAGAGAGCCAGTTGCCCTGGCTTGTCTGCGCCAGACCTGGTTTCCTGCTGGGCTCACTTTCATCAACTCTTCAGGGTTCTGAATACTTGTGCCCTGTAGGTCCTGCAGCTGAGCTGTGCGAGAAGAGCAGGACACAACACCCAACTCCACCCACTGATAATTCCTGCTTTCAAACTGTTACTACACCCAGTGAAGATCTGTGACTTTTACTGGTGTTTAGGAAAATGGACTTCTTACAGGGGGGAGGGGAGAGGGTGAAGGGGTGAACAGGGAGGAGGAAAGAGGATACTCAAGTGCTTGCGCACTTGCTCTACATCACAGAAGTGAGGACTGGGACATGGCCTGGGGATGAGAGATGGGAAGAGGTCCTGTGAGTCAAGGGGGAGAAAGGAGAGCTCCTGTCTCCGCCTGCAAGGGAGGCAACATTAAGGCAAACAACAACTGAGACAGAAGGAGTTATGAAAGAAGCACGAGCCCCCCCTTCCAGAAAGAGCAGCTCTTGAGTAACCTCGGGTCACTGCTGTCGAGAAGGTGCTCTTCTTGTCTTCTTTTCCGACAGAAAAGCTGCTTTCTCCCCTGACAGAAATGGGGGGAGTTACTCCAAGAGGTGCTTAGTGAGGTGATTTTCATTTCACTTCCAGCTCAAGTTTCCAAACAATTGAAAACATGTTTAGAATAATCATTCAGATTACAACAAAAACAAAACACGATGTGAAATAAAACTAAATACACTCAGTGCAAC